GCACCTTCAAAGTGCTAATTACTGTTGCAGGACTGGACCGACACGGCTGCGTTTCTATCTCTCACCGAACAGCCACTGGAAGTGTTGGATCGGTTCACTTACCTTGATAGCTGTCACCTCTGGTGGTCACATCACTAAGAAAGTTACCTCGCGTATCAGCAAGGTCCTTGTGGCTTTCCACAGGCCCAACGGTCTATGCACACGGCGGGATATCAGCCTGTTACTGAAAGGTAGGGTGTATAACGTTGCGATATTGCCAGTGTTATTGTATGGATCAGAGACCTGGCCAGTTCACGGCGAAGACATTAAACACCTGACCATGTTTGACCACCGATGCTTGCGTAGTATTGCTCACGTCTGGTGGGAACACCAGATGAACAATGCATCAGTTGGTGCATCAGTTGGTTTTCAGCAAGAAGCCTTCTGATGCCTCTAATGTTGGCTGAATCTTAATTGCTTACTTTGGCTAGGCCGTGTCCTCCGTATGCTCATTGACCGATTTCCTCGGGGGGCATCATACGCAGTGACTGCACCAAGTTGGATGAAACCGTTAGATGACCAGTCCATGACGTGGCATCGATGCATGAGGAAATTTACTGAGAGATTTGGTCAGGCTGGTGCGTGCCGTCTCCCTGGATGGGTGTCTCGGAATGGTCCGCACCAATGGTTGGAGACCGTATCATACATGGCGCAGTCACGCAGTCAATGGCGTTCCTGCATTCGGTTTCTTAAATCTGCTTGTTAATATTCCTTCCATTTTGTCTAATCCAACGCACCACGTTCTTGCTTACATTTTCTTAACATTCCATTTACTTTTATCCCCACTATATTACCGTTATTTTTTACTGTTCTTCTGGCGATATGATCCGTGTGTTACGATTGCGTAGATGCCTGATAAGATTGTCACTGGTACGGTTGGAGCACGCCTACGGTAACGGCCTGGAACGCTGACCAGTCGAACGGATTTGCGCTGACCTGATGGCGTTAGCTTAGTTCGGGGTACGCGCTGGTGAGACGGAAATTGAGCGAGCGTGAGACCGATCCTAGACGCACCTATTCGGGTAGACGCTGAGCCCTCGGAAAGGACGCATACGAGAGGGGGTTACGGTAGACACGCACTAGTGACTTAGACGCGAACGCTGGCCGGCTAACGACGCACACATAATCACGTGACTGACCGACTCGTAACTAAGGCGAAGAGGAAGCAAGATTGGTGGTCCTCTGAAGGCTCTTTTACGACCAACAAAGGGCGAATCACAGCCGATGTAATGGGTTAGTAAGTTATGAAAAATTACTACCACGACGGGGTGGTAGTTTATAAACGAATATTGTCAACAGGTGCGCAGTTGGGCGGCGTCTCGGAGTGGCTGAACGCTGCTGCGTTGTGGGGAGGAATTGGACCCCGCTTTCCACAGCCATTATGCCGAAGATTCTGGCGTGTTTTTGCTGGGATATTTGACGGGCCCGCAACACTGTGGCAACTGAATCCACCGTACTTCAGTGCTTGGGTCATAGTTGTTCAACTGAAATGCACTGAACTGAACTGAAGACAGCCTTTCTTCGCACCAGAGACAACATCAAAGTCATCGGAGGTTTGTCCACAGAGCTGCACCCTTGCCCGCATACCACTGTGCATTCTATTAGACTTACAAACTTGGGCAACCGAACTTACCAAACACCAGCCACAGTGCCTCACGGTTCACCGTATCAAATGCCTTGGTGTAGTCTGCAAACAGCGAGTAAAATTACTGGTGTTACTATCTGCATTTCTCCTGCAACTGACGACTCGCGAACACCATATCTATGGTGCTGCTGCCCGAACGTCGTCCGCATTACTCTTCCGCCACATTTGGTTCAACGACCTGAGTGAGGAGGCGGTTGAGCAGGATACGGGCGATCACCTTCGCCACACAACAGCAATTTTATGCCACGATAATTCCTGCAACATTTCTTGCTTCCTTTGCCCTTGTACGGTGGTTGCACAAGGGCATCCTTCAAATCTGCTGACACTTCCTCTTCAATCTACATGCGTTGCTCCAATTGGTGCAGCGCATGCGTCAACGCGAGGCCGCCGTGTTACAACACTTCAGGCAGTATTCCGTCGGCTCCGGCGCACTTGCCACACCGCAGCTGAGCACTTGCTCTTTGCGTCTCATCCATTATCGGTTGGTTTTCAAGACGCATCTACATCTCTCGTTACCACAGCCCGTGCAACGCAGTGCAGTCAATCTCTGTACGGTTGATCAAGCGACAGTGTTTTCGCCAGCTCTACATTCTGTATGTATGCAGCGCCTGAAATAGAATCAAGCAGCGTCCTCATCGGCTGCAAACTAGGTCCATACAACGCCTTCAAAGAGCCGAAGAATTCTTTATGTTGGCGGTGTTTGTCGTAGCATTCTATAGGCTTTGCCTTCTCCGTCCGCCATGCGTTCTTGATGCGACGGAGCTCTCGGGTCAGTCGCCGTCGAAGTTTGCGAAAATAACTGTCCCTGTTTGAGTCGCCGGGGTCCGCCACATGTGCAGCGAATCCTTCATCTCTGACAGCAATACGCCAGTGGTCGCACTGTTGTCATCAAACCAATCGGGCCACTTGCAGTTCGCGAACTCGATCGTTTCCTCGGCCACAGCCGTCACCTGTTCACTAGCTCCAGCTCTATCTTCTTCTCAGTAGTACGTAGGAATAGAACGTTAAACTTGCACCAGTTCACGGCAAAGAAGCACTAAATAGATTTACGAAAATATATGTACAATTTGGCCCACACCCACTTGTGCTCAGTGCCACCCTCAGCTCCACGCAGTACGTGTCATGCGCATGCCACGCTGGCGTATGATGACAGTCTCGCAGGCGATCGTGGCCACTCTACAGGAGCGTCCAAGTAGCTTTATCACTCGCACCCAGTGCAAACCGGGTGTTCGTGATCGTCAGGCCGTGAGTGGCGCACAGTGAAAGCAGTCGGTCACCGTTCCCATTGGCTGAGCCAATACCATACGGACCGATTACGTCTGTCCATACTGGTGCATCACACCCAACGCGCTCACTGAAATCACACTGTAAGAATGGCCGGTCGTTTCTCCGCACAGACTGTATCACGGAGGATAACTGAGCGTAAAACTGATCATTTGTGTCATCAGGATAACACATGGTGGGGCGGCAATTTAAATCCCGTACCGCGCGAGTTCCATCGCGACCACTACCGTGCGTCTTCTGGGAATCACTCGAGTTCCGGTCGAGTAGTGTGCACACGTTCCAGCACCCGATGTTGAGCGCTTTTCACGAAGGCAAACGATTTCGCCGGGCAATCGGGCGGGTGTTTAGCTGACTTGGAGGAACTAGTGGGTTAGTTGAGATGGGTACGAGGAGAGTATGTACATGGGGAGGAGAAAGAAGGGAATCGCTATCGGTAGCATGTTTTTGCTTATCAACTTCGCTGTATGCAGCAGATGTGGCGATCCTTTTTCTAGTGTGACTGCGCGACTGCCGATGCAGCATGGAATTGTTAGTATTGGCGTGATTCATGATTTCTTTTTGGACTGGAATACTGCCCAGGCACCCACACTTGACGGGAGAACGAGTCGGGTCTTCAGCCAAAGCCTTTGATTAGACATACTCCTGAAAGGCAGCGAGGCGTGCGCCATGAGTCCGTGAACCAACTCACGCGGAATTATATGTATTGACTCTCAGCTGGGAGCAGGTTGTAACCCAACTCCCACCCAGCGGTCGGCACGAGGAGGGATCCATGACATGAGTCCACGGCACAACATTGGGAGCATCGACTTGACGATCTGTCAACCTGTTACCAACACAAGCCTCTGCGCACCGTAGACTATATCGCCTATATATATATATATATATATATATATATATATATATATATATATATATATATATATATATATATATATATATTGAAGGCTGACTTAACCAAGCACTCCTGACTGTAGCTACCTATTGTAATCAGTCACTTTCTCACTATCGGCAGCACTAAAACCCAACATTTTTATAAAAGTGTATAAGCAGTATGCCGATACACCGTACCATCCATTCGCTAATACGCAGCCACGAGCAGACGCCTAAACCAATTCGTCACCGGCCGGTCGCTTGGTGTTCCTCTTCTTTACTGCGCTCATGTAATTACGCCGATCGCTCAAGGCTTACTTGGAAGAATGCCTGCCAGACTGTACATCGTCCAACTTAATTCCTCTGAAACTAGATCCTGCATTGCTATATTCCACTTTGTATTGCATTTTAGTGTTCGCCCCGAAAGTCGTTTCCATTGGGTTTGAACAACCGGTCGAATTTTTGGGGCTGAGTTTCATGACACCGATAATTAAATAAGCCTGTGTCATACTGTTTATTGCGACGAACCGTTGGGAGCACCTTTGAAGGGGCCACCTTGACTCATATCCACTGGTGCATTTCAACTCGGGTGATGATCAACGGCTAACTTGGCTACTTTCCTCTTCATTCAACAAACTTTGACCTATTTACTCGCTAAGACCATTGTCACCGGATTCAACTAGATGTCTCTAGGTGGGCACGATATCTGAACAAAAATGTTTCATTCGCACTAAGCAGAGAGACCAAGGCGCTGCCTTGTTGGCACTATTATATGTGCACAGGGGATATCGACAGTCTCAATACACTTGCATCGATAGCGGTTGGAACATTAGGCTCAGCTCCTCCTTCACTTTTAATTTCTTTTACTTCCAGAAACAATCGCATATTTGATACTTCTAAGTTACAGAAGAACACTGTTCTGCCCTACTTGTGGTGGAATTCTCGGCTTCAAATCCCTCACGTCTCATAGGTCTCACACAACACTCAGTACTCAGTTTCCCTCATCATTTCGCTTTTGATCCATAGATAACTTGCTTGTCTTTGTTCACACAGATTTAACCGTGCTGCAGTTTTGGTCGTATACGTTCTGTTCGCACGATTTTCCTTTGATTTCTGGCTTTTACACTTTCCCTCTTTTATGTTGTATTCTGCAATTTATTAGGAATGTGCGCCTGACAACACTTCTCCCCGTCTTTCTGGAACATCTGATTTCTCCACTCTCTCAAGCGGCGATCACTGGATGCCACCTCTTCATAAGGACTATCTTCCAATGCACACTTGTCCTTCGACCCAGTCTGCGCCACCCAACATGTATCTAAATGTGCCAACGGACTTCCTCTACCCAGTTTACTCTCCTGAACATATTCCGTATGGGGTTATCGATCCTGTCTCACCTACTACTGATGAAGGGCCTTCGAAATCCAAGGTCACATGGCAACGGTACCCGGGTGATACCGCAGCGGGTTCCATTCACACACCACCATCGACATTCGCATGGACCGATGCAGCTCTCAATTGCTTTCACTTTATGCATGGTGTGGCACAAGTAAGACACTACGGAGATTTCGCAAATTCTCTCCATACACACTTGCTACTGCCACGACTCTAGTTGATTTACTAAGAACTCGCGCTTCTGAACTCCAGTTTCGAAAAGATCCGCCAAACGACTGTGGCTTCTCCAATCGTAGTCTCTACTGTGTACATTTGTACGTAACGGGTGTAACTCATGGGGGCCAAATTGGTTGTTTTATCCGACAAACTAGCTGCGCACCTTGCCTCTGTTGACGACAGACATGCTAGATTGACTTTGCTTCACCTCATGTGTCCCAATGATTACCTTGGTTAATTGCCTAATCCATTTCTGTAAGTGCTTTGTTTTTTTGGTGACATTTTGAGATTTGTTTTATCAAATCAACTGCCAGGCCAGTTACGTTCGATCACCAGTGCCTTCGCAGTTTGGCTCATATCTGGTAGTAACACCGCGTAAGCAATGAGCTTGTTCGACGTCTTGTTTATGGCACAACAAAGGGAGATGAACCGCTCAGCACCGTTATTTCACGCACCAGCCTGAGATGGCTGGGATACGTGTTGCGCATGCCAACCCACTGACTCCCGCGACGTGCGTTGCTTGCCCAGCGGAGTGTAGATGGCAAAAGAGGAGGGAAGCCAAGCGATGACTTGGTCAAGAGAAATGAAGGCCCTTAGTTCGAAGCTTGCGTCAGTTGGAGTCTCTAGGCTGGATACACTTGTTGACATCGCTAGGAGTGGATCTCAGGGACGTTTATGATGTGAGCTTCCTTGTTTCTTCCCCTACAACCAGATCTCATTTACTAAAAATAATGTAACTTTTTTTGCGGCATAATAGCCAGGTGTCGGTTCTCCGGAACAATGCCCATCCGTTACTGGTGACTCAACCGGCGTGCCTTTGTTGCATTTTTTGTATTGCGACACAATAACTGAGGTGTTTCCACATCTAGCTAACATGTATAATGATAATGATGATGAATTCACCTGCCATATATCCTCTTTAGGCTGTCCGATCGTGCAAGTTTCTACATTCGCTGAGTTTTATTGTAGATCAACTACCTTATCCATGTAGACCTGCGGCTTCTACTGGTTGATTCGTTGTTTCACTCCCCGCCGACGACTTTGTTTCACTTTAATGTGCTAACTCGTTCGAGCGCCAAACTATATGGAACACAGCCATCTTGACTTGCGTCGCCCCCGCCGCCACCGCGTAACCAACTTGAAGAATGGAAACGATGAAAACCGACCGGTGCTGAGCGTCACATTCATCGAACAGTGAAAAAAGCAAGTGTATATAGTCGCTCATCACTCTTCCGGACCTTATTCTGCACTTTTTAGTCGGTTTCTTTTACTATCTTGCCTTATCTCGCACAGGTCACCTTGGAGTTCCCTCCAGCTGAGCACAGTGTTGTTAAGGGACTTAACCCACCGATCGTGGACGGATCGAGGCCTATGGATCGTCCGTTGAGACGTCAAAGGATTTGTTGCCGAACTTCGAATGACTAATTCCGTCATTGCTGATTCAGTGATTTGATCACATCTGGACGGCACTTCACAAATATCGGTCGTCAACTGCGTTGTGTACTCATGTCTGCTCCATGCAGCAAGTCTGTTGCACCGCATCTTTGTACTTTCCTTTGTGCACCTTGATCATAGGTAACGGAAGCTTTACAAGGCTACAGTAGTCCTTTCGACTGGAGCAGCCAACTGGTGATGCGACCAGCGGAGGTGGTGCAGTTGTCTTCCGGTGGTTTTGAATGCTGGTGATTTGTCTTCCGTAGTCTTGTAGCAGCGTTTGGAACGTTCAAAACGCATACCGAAGCATCCAACGCTTCGCGCCAGCCTATTCAGTAGTGTTTGCATGGCAGCTTGGTCCAACTCAGAGGATACTATCATTTAGTGCTCCAAGTTTGATAATTCATCGCTAGGAGGCGCCTCTAGCCCAGAAAAGGCTGATAGGGTGGGAACGGATCACTCATAAACTGGTTATTCACATAGCTGAGCTAAAATGAAACTTGATCTAGTGCCGACGCACACTATTTTTATTTTAATGTAATTGTCTACTATATTCTTCCACTATAGCGACACAGATAGAGGCGAGCAGCCGGATCGGGGGCCATTCTCATGTTAAGGAATATCACTCTGATAGTCCAATGGTTTGGTAGTGTTTGATGGGAAAAAGCATTAGCTTACAGAACCCACCGGATCGCAAATACAAATCAAAATCAAAGTGTTCCGGCGTGGAACGCGAACTGTCTGTAGTCTAAACGTTGCACATCCTTACACTGTTGTGTAGCGTTTAGCACTAAGATGAAAGTCTAGAAGTCTCGAATATCATGATGTCTGGTGCGTTCACCACATATGTTGGTAGTGCATTCCAGTTGGAACAGGTTCTAATAGAGTAAAAATACTTCCCACAATTCCGACGGGAGTGTTGCGTCATTAGTTTCAAGTGATGGCCTTAACAATGTTTTTAAGGGGCTAGGCTCAGCAGTGATGCACATGGGTGCTCACTTTCAGTTAGTATCCGGTATGTGAGGAAGAGATCCCCGCAAAGCCGTCGGTATTCTGTGGAGAAGATACCAAGCAAACTGAAGTACAGTTCGTAACGGAGACCGGATAGTCCACCTTTTACCTTGGTAGCTCTTTGGGTCTGCTCCAAGAAACGAACGTCTCCTTTTAACCATGGGCTTCAGGCCTGAATCCCATACTCAAGGTGGGGACGAATATTCGAGTAAATCAGCGGTGTTACTGGTAGTCGCTCAAGAACACCAAGAGCACGCCTCAAAAGCCTTAAGTTCGAGTTCGTTACATTTGCTGCCCTCGAACATTGGAATGAATGCGCGAACTTTCTTGAACAATGATACTCAAGTCTCTTTCACTGGTCACGTGTTGCAGGACGCATTGTCCCAAAAGCTATGGGCTGTTGTAGCTGCTGCGAGGCGTTAGCAGGTGGCAGGGTTCAGTGGGAGCTGGTTCACAACGTTCTGGAGGTAGGTTAGGTTAGATGTTGTACGCATAGCCCATTGTATCTTAGCATCATCTGTAAATATTTGCTTTGGCGATAGTTTTGCTGGTAGGTCATTGATGTTGACTAAAAAGGGTAGAGGATCGAGGACAGTATCGACTATTCTTACCTTGATTGTTCTGTCGTGCAGTTAACCTTTCAACCAGGTGAGTAGGCAACCGTTGATACCGTAGGCACCAAGCTTTCGGCTTGGCTCGGTCGAAAGTCTTAGTTTATCCCATCTAGGGGGACTCATTCGTCAGCTGCCCTGGTCCATAAGTCCCGATCAAGAAGCAGATTAGTGAAACAAAATCATCTGCGTCTGAAGCCATGTCGGGCATTAGAAATTATTTGCAGATTCAAAATATCAAGTCACTTCATCTGTGATTATCTACTTCGTCATTTTACTTTAAACATGAAGGAGCTAAGGGGTCGGTAGTTGGCAGGATCCGATCGCTCACCGATTTTGTATATCGGAATGATGATTCCATGTTTCCCCTCAGACGGGAATGTATGGGAATCAAACAGACACTAGAAAAGCCTACAAGATGTACTGCTATGGTGGGGCAGGAGTCTTAAGAAAGTTTGAGCGATCTTGTCGATTCCCAGGACACTGCTTTCTCAGAGAGAATGTAATCCGTTTACGACATCTACTGAGGTAAACCGACGATGTTTGCTGTGAAATGATAGAGCGAAGATTCCGTGGTGTTTGTAACCACTGAGCCGAACTGCAGGAGCAGTGCGTTCCCGGTATCCATAACAGTAATCGTTAGACCACTGGCCGTCTTAAGTGGTAGTGTTACAGGCTTAGCCTTTCTTTTGCTATTCACACACCTGTATAGCAGTTTGGTGCTACTCGTAAACTTGTGTCTCATGGTCTCTTGCCATTCCTACTTGTCTGATCTTATAAGTGATGTGCAGTGGTTTCTAATTGCTTTGTAATTCTGCCATGCGGTATCACATGGGCTTAGCGCATGTTGCCTCTAAAGCTCAGCTCTTCTATTGATCCATTTACGTGTTCTGCTTCGGATCCAACTGTTGGTGCGGCATGATACCAGCAATGGTACAACTTTTGAGGCCGCTCATATGACCCAGTTACTTTTGCACTTCAATTCATTCCATTCGTCGTTTGCCGTACTCTGCGGCTGGCGGTCGCAGTCAACAGTTGTGGCTAGGTTGTGTAGTTTGGTATGGTCCGTAATAGTTCGTTGAGTTTTTCGATCTTTATCGATACTCCTGGCATAGCACACAACCAAACGTTGGACTGAATGGTTGCTACTAACTAGTAAAGGGTCGTATGCGATTGACTCAACCATCAAGTCTTCATTAGTCAGGATTAAGTTCAGGAGTGATAGCGTATTTGAACCGCGGTGTCTGGTTGGCCGATGCACATGGTTATACAAAGCTGCCATATTCATAAATCCAGTTTTGCTTTTAATGATAACCCACCGGGGACGCTGATACTACTGAAGGTACCTTGAAGTCGCCCATTATGAGGTAGTGAGAGCACTTTTTGGAATAACATAATGAGGCGCTTTTAACAGAGTGGCTTCGCCATCTACAGACTAGCTTGGGCGGCCTATTGGCAATTGTTAAGTGGCAAGCATCATGCTTCTTCTTCCCTGATCCAACATAACCTGTTATGTGCAGTCGGCAAAATAGTGCTTTGGGAATAACAAGGGAATTTTCGTTAAGGGCCTCACATTTCACGTAATTTTGATAGTAGATAGAAACACCGCCCCCGCGAGATGGACGATCATTTTTAATGACTGATGTTTCACAGAGTTCAATCTCCGTATCTATTATGTCATTTGAGAGCCAAGTTTCAGTCATCGCTAGGATGTCCCTAGTTGCACTCTCATGTTGACGGCATAGTTCCGGAGGTTTAGCATACTACCTTGAGCGTTGGTGTAGCAGCATTGTATCTGTTGACGCATTAAGAGTACTAGTAATGCTGGTCTTTTGACTTATTTTTGAACGGGTATTTGCACTGTCGGCTGATTTGAGGTAGG